TCATTGCCTTCAGGTCCCCGGGATACTGAATTTTCCTGACTTTGTCCCGGTTGCACTCGGAAATCCCGCAGATACCGGCCAGGCTCAGACTTTGCCAGAGCTCAGCGAGGAGTCCTCTCATCACCTGTTTTGCTCCTTGTTTTCCGTCTACGGCTAGCCCGTAGATTACCGGACGGCTTACTAGAACTGCCTTGGCCCCTAGACAGAGTGCTTTGATGATGTCTGCGCCGGTCCGAATACCGGAATCAAACAGGACGGTCATCTTGTCACCTACTGCGTCCACAATTTCAGGGAGTACGTCCAGTGAGCCGATAGCACCATCGACTTGCCGTCCTGTGCATTGTCAGACCGAATAAAGTGAGCTTGTCAGGGCCTTCGTTTGTTCTTTTGAAATGCGTCAACTCACCTCCATGGTTGGAAACAATAATGCCATCGCAACCAGCTTTCAGGGCAAGCTGTGCGTCTTCCACATGTTGAATGCCTTTGAGGACGATTGGACCGTCCCAATTCTTCCTCAGGAAAGCAATTTTTTCCCAGGTGTGAGGTCTGCCCGAGAAAACATCCCCGATCCATGCCCGGGATGCCGCGACGATATCCTCTTCGACCTTGGAGCCCGATTCCTTCTCAAACTTGGCGCGAAAGACTGGATCACTGAAGCCGATCTGATTGCCAACACCTTTAATGAACGGTACATAGGCGTTGTCTAGATCTGCAGGCCGCCATGCAAGGGACCAAGTGTCTAGTGTGACCACAAGGACAGAGAATCCGTTCTCTTTCGCACGCTTCAGCAATGACATAGTCACGTCGTCGTCCTGGGGCCAGTAGAGCTGGTACCATCTTTTCCCATCTCCGTTCGCCTCAGCAACTTCTTCAATAGTGCTGCTACTGGCTGTACTGAGGATGTATGGTACTCCGACCTCAGCACATACTTCAGCAAGACCTGTCTCCTTGTCCTCATGGAAGAGGCTTTGAACCCCCACTGGGGCCATGAGGATGGGGGTCGGATACTCCTGACCAAAGAGATTTACGGTCAAATTCTGGTTAGCCATCTAGAAAGTGTATCATCAGTTACCGGCAGATGAATCCACAGTAGCTACTGCATTAAACGAACCGGCTTCATCATCCTCGGTACTCTACGAGTCGACATTGTCTCTGTGCATTAGTCCAAATCCTTCACGCTGCAAATGATCTGAAGTAATAGAATGCGTAAGCTTACAGCTTCCATTGACGAAATGCCAACCGATTGGCATCCATGGTGGCTTTCTCGCCCGCTCCCCCAGCGACATAGTTGAATGATCGCGCTCCTAACGCCTTGCGCGCCTGTTCTTCGAGCAGGCGAGAGTCGGTGGTGACATTGGGCCTGAGGCCCATCATAGCTCCACGGCCATAGATCTCCGTTTGAAACTCTCCGTAGTTTTCAGGCATTTTGGGCGCGATCGATGTAGAAGAACACCTTTTGAGATGATTTTAAGAAACAGGAAGGAAGCAACGGTCAGTGAAAGACACCTAGCCTACTTCCTATCAAGCTTCTATGTGACATGATGTCAAGCCATCGCTTAGTTACCCCCACATAAGCGTAATTTTGCCTCGGCTTGGATATGCGGAGTGCACCCCGTGTGTCTCACCGAGTCACCCTCCGTACCATCAATGCCGCTGTGAGAGTCAATGCCGTTAATAGTTTATTGGTGAGTTTGGTGACAGCCTTAAAAGGCTTCAGTCACAGTATCAGAGCATCTGCTATTGTATGATCTTCGCACAATGGCCCTTTGATCACGCTGGTGTTAAGAGTATTAGAAATCAAGGTTCTGGAGGCGGGGAAGATAGTCTTCGTGGACTAAGCAGAGCATCGATGTACTGATCAGCTAAGATATCATCCTTGGACATAGATATATCATTTTTTACTGTCAATAGAGGTGGTTGCATGCAAGATGCTTAATTTTTCAGGCCTAGCGTTCAGCCAAAGAAACAGAGGCAAGGGACGGTAATGAGAGAATGATGCCTCAGGCAGACACTCTGATCTTGTTTCCTTAGGGATATCCCAACGTAGAGAGGTAGATCTCCGAAGATCATAGGGATGATCTCACATTGCAATCACCCAAAACGACTTTCGTCCAATTGATAGCAGCGAGATATGTGCTTTTTATTACCTTTCGTATTGAAAATGGTAAACTGCATTGTCGATCGACACCGTACCGTAGATGATCTAGCAATTGTACGGGACCTAGTTAATGGTAGACTAATAAATAATATTAAGCAAACTCTAAAGTCACTGATAGATAAGCATCGTGAACCCAATCAGTCAGGAATCTTGGCATTGGGCCACTGTGACACATTCTCGTTGACATTTTTCGTCTTTTCTTCTGCCCTTAGATTCTTTGCTCATGCTGTGGATTCTGCTTTTGGGAACCTTTATATATCGATTATGTGGACAATAGTCTGGCGATTCCCGTCGTTCTTCCATTGAGAGGCCTCAATCTTGTTGATCGCCTGATGAGCCAGTAACAGAGACAACATTTCCTACAGGGAGGGCAATACTCCATATTATGATACAGGACATAGTCACCCAATACTTGGAAATCAGCGCCCAATAGGTGACCCGCGCAATGGAGCATGAGCAGAAATCAAAGGCGGACGTTGAGTCACCGCCGGCTGGGATCAATGAGAGCGTGTCGGAGGACTCGACGCTCGATGAGAAGAAGGAAAGGCTTCTGATTCGCAAAATCGACTATTACATTTTGCCTTTAGTTGTTCTTCTCTATCTGTTCAGCTTTCTTGATAGAGGTAGGCTTTGGATCTTGCCTTATCTCTCTTATTAGTGCACTGATTCTCGGGGCAGTCAACATCGGGAATGCTCGTCTGTATGGGTTGGAAGAGGACCTGGGCCTGGTAGGAAATCAATACCAGGTTGCGGTGTCTATTCTCTTCGTGACATATTGTGTATGTTTTGATCCTTACCACAGCAGTCGTTGATCCACCGGTGGCTAATTGTGTGGTCTTGATAGTTGTTTGAGGTACCGTCTAACCTGGTCATCAAGAAGCTGAGGCCATCACGCTATCTCGCGTTCATTGCCATTATTTGGGGTGTGATTGCGACGCTGACCGGCATCGTTCAAAGCTACGGCGGTTTGATTGCTTGTCGACTTCTTCTAGGTCAGTGTAGAACTCACCGTACAAAGCTGCCTCAATGCTAAGGCTGAATTTTGTAGGTGTGGTGGAAGCTGGGCTCTTTCCTGGTCTTATGACATATCTCACGCTATTCTACCAAAAAGGTGAACTTGCCCTACGGACGGGTTACCTCTTCAGCAGCGCAGCCATCGCGGGAGCCTTTGGCGGTCTTCTAGCCTACGGCATCGGCTATATGGATGGCATTAGCGGGCTGAGGGGCTGGAGATGGATTATGATACTTGAAGGTATCCCGACTGTCATCCTGGGCGTGGCAACTTGGTTCGTTCTCGCAGACGAACCCGACACAGCGTATTATCTCAACGAAGAGGAAAGAGCGCTTATTGTCCGCCGCCGCAGTCGCTATGTCGGACAGACTATGTCGGCACAGAAGTTTCACTGGGCAGATGTCAGAGAGGGCTTCCTGGATTGGAAGATCTACGCTTTCAGCATCGGCCAATTTGGTGTCGATACTATGCTTTACGGCTACAGCACGTTCCTTCCGACGATCATCAAAGGAATGGGGTCATGGTCCACTCCAGAAGTTCAGGCACTTACCATTCCCTGCTATGCGTTAGGTGCACTGGCATACCTCGCCATTGCGTGGCTCAGCGATCGACTCCAGCGTCGCGCATTGTTCATCTGCATTTTTAGCGTCATATCTATGGTCGGCTATGGTATCCTTATCTCCAATGTCTCTTCCGGTGCGCACTACTTTGGGGCACTGCTCATTGCCCTGGGATTGTATGTGACAGTTGGTCTACCGCTTGCATGGCTACCAACCACCCTTCCGCGTTACGGAAAGAGGACGCTGGCGACAGGTATGCAGCTTACTTTTGGCAATGTCAGCGGGGTGATGTCGCCTTTCTTGTACAAGTCAACAGAGGCACCTCGTTATATCCGCGGCAATGCCGTGACCCTATCATTGGTCGGACTTGCCGGCCTTGTGTATGCCATCATGTACGTTTATTACCAACATGAGAATAGCCGCAGAGCCAATGGCCTTGAGGACGAGAAGGTTGCAGGCATGACAGAGGAGGAAATTCAGGAGCTGGGTGATAATAGCCCTCGGTTCCGATACACTACATGAGGTTTGAATGACTATCTTATACAATTTAGACGGACATTAGACAACAGGCATCTAGTTCCAGCAGCATTTGGAATTGATGGTTATGTCACGCTTTGGCCGTAAATCTGCTTTCCGTTGTAGCTTTCGAGATCCCTATCTACTAGTTAGCTAAACGATATGATCAGTAATATTTTCCAGTCCTTTGTTCGAGCAATGTCTGACGCCTCTGCGATCTATACTTGAGTCTTGTGCTCCACCGTGTTTGGTGCGACCTGTCTTGGCAAGTCAATCTTTCATGCGATATTTGTGACCTCTGCTATCGTCTTTCATCCTTTCAGGTGTTTCTATCCGGCTTCTTATGCCTCTTTCCCAGAAATTACCTGCCAAATAACATGTTTGATGTTCGTCCATTGTGGACGATAATTTTTTCCTTTGTAGCCGCCATCGCGAGCATCCTCTACCACAGCCGTGGTTCACTACTCATCTGTCCCAGGAACGCCTTGTTTATCTCCCAGTCACCATACTACCCAAGCTGGAATACTTGGACCCATCCATCTACTTCGGGTGGCTCTAAGGACTCACACAGAGACTGGAATCTTTTCTATCATCTCGGTGGATATGGACCTTGGGTTGAAAAACTCGATGGACATGCCGAGTCGCAAAGCATTTATCCGCCAGAGGGATGTGCCGTAAACCAGGTCCATATGGTATAGACTCCAATTTTTAATTTTCTGCATCGTTCTGGCTCCAGATTCTAATCGATGCTCAGATGTCGCGCCACGCAGAGCGATATCCGACAAAAAATGCCGGAGCTCGTATGTCAATCTCGTCAATGATGCTTTTTTTTTGAGAGGGCGCCAATGCAAGCAACGATGAATCTAACCGTCGATGACTGCAGGCCATCTCTCACTTCTCAACCGGATCAGAGACGCGAATGTCGTTCTGAACGGCTCATTATCGTTCCTGAACAACTGGACCTACTTTACTGATGAACCATGGAAGGACTTTGACCAGTTGACCAGAACCGGCCCGTATGCAGGCACCCTGCAAGCTTTCATGACGGGTGTTCGCTTCCTAACCCGGTATGAGCATCTCCTACAGCCTGGCCGGAGGACGCGGATCTGGGCAAGCGACTCACAGCGCGTCATTGACACAGCAGCGTACTTTGCATCTGGTTTTTTCGGTCTAGACTGGGAGAAGACCGATAAAGCTGTTCTGGAAGTCATCCCTGAGACATTCGACCGACACGCGGATACCCTCACGCCGGGGGATACATGCCTAAGGTATATTGAAGACGCCGACAACGGTCATGACAACGGCTACACTATGCTGGCGCGTTTCCAGAATAAGTATATTCCGGATATAGCAGCGCGGCTCACCCTCAAGGAACAGAACGAGGAAATCGGGCCGTTGACTAACCTGGAGGTCTGGAGCATGCAGGAGATGTGCGGGTTTGAGACTCTTGTACGAGGATCCAGTCCTTGGTGCAGTGTATTCACTCAAAAGGAGTGGGAATCTTTCGCGTACGCCCGCGACGTGATTCATTACTATCGTGCGGGTCCTGGCAATCCATATGCCGGCGCGATGGGTTGGCTCTGGCTCAATGCTACGACTGCCCTACTGCACGCTGGCCCTGAGGCTGGCACCACGTTTTTCAGCTTGTCAGTAACCCTGACAGTGATGCAACTACCCGTGATTCCCTGGACGCCAAAATCCACAATTTAGACAAATGTCACTATACTAACTTTCGCCTGTAGTGTTCATGACGGAGATATAGCGCCTTTCCTCACTGCTCTGGAAATCTTACAAGACTCAAGATACGACCCTTACTTGCCAGTCACACATGTTGCCGAGGACCGTACCTGGCGTACTTCATCGGTAATGCCTATGGGAGGCAGAATTGTCATCGAACGAATGGCATGCCCGTCCTCAATCACGAATAATCAGGATTCTCCCGACGAAATATTCCTACGAGTCATCGTCAATGACAGACCTATGTCTCTACAATACTGCAAGTCAGGACCGGAATTTTCTTGCCCATTAGAGGAACTCGTCGATTACGTACAGCGACGGAGACGGGAAGTAGGTGAGTTTGGGGATGTATGTGGATTGGAAGGCGATGTTGGACACATTACGTTCTTGAGGCAAGACTAGAGCAATTATAGAAAATCAGGTTGCAACCTCGAATACTTATGTAGATCGGTTGGAGCCATGTGAGTGTGGCATGTGCATGAACACTTTTGAGAGCTGGTCACTCATATTCAGCTATTCAGCATGAGTCACCATCCGCCGAACGGTCTTCTATGAGGCTATATATTGAGTATATTGAGCAGCTCAAATTGAGTGGTGAATAATAAGAGTTAAACCTTCCATACTTCGATGATGTACTTGGAGCCAATCACGTGACCGTATCCGGGCTAACGCACTGTTTATTGCAAGAACCAAATATTTGATAGAGCTCAATCCATCTCAACGAAAATCTGCTTGTGTTGCTGCAGACAACGTATAAGTATTCAGCCAGAGACAGTACTCTGCTTCCATTAGTCCCTTATTCTTCTGTACCTCCGGGATTGCCGCCCTAAAACCAACGTCTTTCTTTGTTCAGCATCAGAGCTTTGCGCCGCCGCAGCCCTTCGCCATGGAGTACCATTTTGTGCCTCCGGAGGAGCGCGCTAAAGACGACAAGGGGAATCTTTTGCCTTGGGGCTATGTGTACAAAGAGTGAGGTTTATCATTTACTAAACTTATTATTCTCCCACAATTCGGGATCTTGATATCTGGATTAGATAACTAACATGACCTCTGATTCTAACAGTGAAGCTCGCAACCCACGACGACCACCTGAAGAAAGCGGCCCCTTTGGCAAGAGAAGAAATGCTCGCTACGAGCAAGCTCGTTCACGTACACGTACTGGAACACCTGCCAAGCGCGAAAACCCCAATGTAGCAGAGTTCGGGCGGCTGTTCGCCCAGCAACAAGAGGAGGAGAAGAGTCGCAATACCCTGCCCAAGTCCTCGTCGTCCTCCAGCCTTGACAACCCACGAAAACAGACCGAGAAGGTCGCGACCGAATGCATACTTTACGGTTACAGGAGCAAGGATGGCGAGTGGAAGGTCATCGATAAGTACGAGAAGATCTCTCGAGGCTCGATCTGTGAGGATTACCCTCGTAGCGATCCCAACTCAGCGAGTGGCTTCGCGCAACTGCTCAGTGGTGGCGACGTTGTCATCCGGCCCAATCTGTCTGCGGATGCGAATCGCAAATCGAAACGCTATGCAGGTGGTTTCCACTGGATTAAGGTGACGTTTGACTCGACTATCGCTGCGGATCGCGCATGCTTCTACTCTCCACAGGAGATCGATGGCCATCTGGTCTTCTGTGAACTGTATCATGGCTCAGGACCTGCAGAAGATGCGCCGATACCTGTGGACTCATCAAAAGCCCTCCAGTTCAAGTCGAAAGCACCGCGCACCTTAACCACCTCACATTCTACTACATTTCTCCAGACGCAGGATAAAGATCGTGCAGCCACATTACCGCGGTCGTTTGCCATGAACAACCTATCAGGTGTAGCCGAAGTACCAGAAGAAGAGCAATCGCAAATATCGACAAGCACTGCAAGCTCTGCCACCGCCACAGGAGTGGAGCAACCGTCTGCCCTTCAGCAACGCAATGTCTCCAAAGAACCAAAACCAGAGTCTGAGTTCATGACACATATCCCCACAGTTCGTCGAACCAAATTACGCCCTATGGCAGAAGCGCTTCCGCCGCAGCCAACCGTGGCAGAGCGTGTACTACGATCGATCCCTATCCTCAGTTGGTTCACTGGTGATATCGTTGGAGATGGACCTCAGCTACGTGAAGATGGAACTTTTGATTATGACAAGTCTAACGCTTATTGGCGCTTCTGGTACATGGTGGACATGGTTCTGGGGACCGACATCTGTGGACTAAAGGAGGAATCGTGATGTCCTTCCTATTTGCTGCCGCCGCCATCCACGTCATTCACACTCTTGAGTCCGAAGCCGAAATCCCCTTTGATAGAGTGGCTAGACTTCAACGCAGCCCAGCTACACTCTCATATTGCTCCTCTTCTCTGACGACTTGAACGAGATTCAAGGACGGGGTGCCATGTCTGTCATCGGATACCCTGCCTATGTATGATAACACTTTTCCTCCCTTGTCAGTCTTCATCCGCAACTTATCAATCCACCACCTGTCATCTCATTGTCCTCGTGTCTGCCTTTGTCTTCATGATGCATTGGTAATATATGGAGAGAATTAATTTGCATTATTGGCGTGGCTCAAGTAGCTGTTACAGATGAATAGAACATCTCCTGATCGACATCACCAAATTACGCTACAGATACAAACAAACTACAATTTAGTTTACCTAGGTCATGCAGCAGATTTCCGACATACAGCAGTTGTACCCCGACTTGAATCAGTCGCCTATGTAGTGAATCTGGTGGTTGACGCTCTGACATATCTCTCCGGGTTAGGATACGCACGCCATTTGTGTTCAGGCGGTGGACAACCGATTCTTAATCCACAATCTCATATTGTCTTCTACCGCAGCCCAACGCCGTTCCCTACCCCGACAAGGATGACATTTTTGATCACCGCAAAGGCGGTAAAACCAGAAACAACCGCACTAAGGGCAACTGCGCACATATGAGGGTAAAAGTCCGGCCCTATTTTTTGGAGATCAAGGTCGAGTTGTGTATCAAATTAGGCATGGCATGCAATCATGTCTTTAGGTTCTCTCTGTCTCTTCCATTTTTAGGTCAAAATGCGATTTACTCAACATTGCTCTCGAAGTTCTCGCCCTCAACCAGGTCAGGGATATCGTCCTCATCCTCATCCTTCTTGCCCTCGGCACCGGCCTGCTTCTGCATGTTCTGGTAGCTCTCGGCGAGCTTGCGCAGGGAGGCGAGGCTGTCGGGGCCAAGCTGGTTGAGGATACCGGGGACGAGCTCGGTCAGCTCCTTCTCCTCGCCGTTACCGTAGAGGGCGAAGGTGTTGGAGGGGACGGAGGCGTGGACTATTTCGGTCACTTCGTCAGTTTTCTCTTTCGGGCTGGGTGGTGGGCATGGAAGCGGGAAGTCGGCGTTCAGGTACTCACCCTTGGGGGCGGCGAAGTGGATGACGTTTCCGTCTTCCTTGAACATGTTGACCTCCTCGATGGCCTGGATGGGCTGGACGTTCATCTTCTTCAGGGTGGTCTGGAGCTTCTTGTCGTCGGCACCGGAGGACTTGTGGACCTTCTTGACCTTGCGGCGGGGGGTACCCTTTCCTCTGTCGATGAAATTAGTCGCAGTCTTTTGGATTGTCAATCGTGGATGGAGTCGCTTTTTAAACGGTTTCTCTATGTTGCCGTGATCGTGATTCGAGAACGAGAGATAATGAAAGCATTATACGTACCCTAGAAGAAGATATTAAATGTTAGCTGTCAGTTGCGGACCCAAACTGCTTTCCCGTCCACCTAGGAGAGTTGCGACATCACATTGCCCAAATGGTGCGCCTCGAAGCTCTAAATGCTTCGCAAGCCGCCCGCAAAAAGCACAGATTCGGACACCAGCACCCCGAAAATCCAAAGGAAAGAACAAAACGTACCAATCCGCACGCTCGCCTGCATCCTAGCCAGCTTTGCTTGATCCATTTTGACGGTAATTTATGTGCGTTCGTAGAGAACCTAAATCTGGCGCGATGGTTAGAAAGAAGACGTCAATAATCAGATCTGTGGAACTCGGTAGGGACAGAATGTGCGGCTGCAATTCTGTTGGTAGTGGGGAGGTGCGAGGTAGGACCAAGCGGGGGGGTTCAAGGTTGCGGTACCGGGTCAGGAGGAGACTGATGAAAACACCGTCGAAATGGTGATCGAAGTACGAGGGTTGAGATGAGGTTTGGATTGACTTACCGTGACTGAGGTGGTGTTTGGTGGGAGGAGGTTGAAGTTGCTGATGATGCGCATCTCGGCTCCCCGAGCACGAAAGTTCCAGTTGTGGTTTGTGTGGGGAGTCGAGCTCGCTAATTCGTTGCGTCGGACGACTTCTGAGGATTTACTCTACAAGCTTACAGATGAATTTCCATTATACTGCTACGATTGTCAATATTCTGAACCATCATTCTACAATATCATCATCAACATCTCTTCTTTGGGTGCTTTTGTTGGGTTGTGGGTTTGGCTCTTGGGAGAATTGGGAGGCTTCTCGGCTAAACCCTAAATGATCTCAAGGCCCAACTATGACAAGACAGTGTCTCAAGGGATTTTTTGGGCGTAAACCTAGCTAAAGGATGTAACTGACTGAATGTTGAAATCGTTCATATTATCTATGGGCTGAAGAGAGGAATGAGTTTGCGCCTGCCATTGAGGCTGTCTTGCCTAGTAGTGGAGGTGGTGCTCAACTCCTCACAAGCCGCATCAATTACCGAATCCGGTAATCTCACCAACTATTTGGCTGACACCAAGCCCTGATCATAAAATGTTGACCACAGATATTGCATATCAAGTGGAGAGAGTATCCTTTGAAGTCCATTACTTCACTGATGCATTTATTGCTCTGCCTTAAAAGGAAAATAGTTGCGCCACGGGTGTTCTTCCTTGAATCCCAGGACTGATTTGATCTTGGAATTGGTCAATGGAGCCTCGAACTCCTCCATCTGTCTTGTAAATGGGACATTGGGACATTGCTGCTTGAGAAACTCCTCTGTCGGGGTCGTGCTTGTGATAGTATCATTCGTCGCGTTGAAAATCTGAAACCCAAGTCCCGACTTCCGAAGGCCCAAGTCGCACATCCGACCTAGGTCACGCGCGTCCGTATAAGACCAACCATGGGCCTTCCATTTCTCAGGTTCATAGACGTAACTGTGAAAGAGCTGTTGTTCGTATTCTTCAGGTGCAATCACACGCCCAATCCGAAAGACATAGATATCGGCACCGAACCGACCCGCGAAACCCCTTGCAACTCGCTCCCCGCAAACTTTGGCTATCGCGTACGTATCGGTTGGATTCGTATCGACTTCTTCATCTACCGGGAAAGACGGATACTCCGTGTCACCCAGTGCGAAAGACACGCCGTACACCGTGACACTGCTAGCAATAATGATCTTCCTGATCCCTAGTTTACAGGCGGCCTCGATCACATTGTACGTAGAGACCGTGTTTGCCCGGAAGGTCTCGTCATCAGGTGCGAGCATGTTGCGTGAGTAGCCTGCGAGGTGAATGACCGCATCTGGCGTTGGAGGAAGACCCGGTGGAAACGGTTCACTCAAGGCAAATTGACCAGACATGGCACTGAATACCTGACCTGATACAGTCAGGTCAGTTTTGAGTGTGCAGACTTTATCATTTGGGCAAGGAAGTAGGTCCAAATTCAGGACTGTATGTCCGGCTTTAAGGAGCTCTGCGATCACATGTTGGCCGGCTTTACCAGAACCTCCAGTGATAATTACTCGAAGGCCCATTATCAATAATTAAGGTATCAAGAGAAAGGATGGTTCGACATAGCAGTAACGATTCTTGAGCAGAGACAAGTTCTTTGAAGCGACCAGGTTGTAGGATAGCCAGATCTTCAGGGACATCTTCCCCGCTTCCCCGCGCGAGGCCGTGGATCCAGAGCTGGCAGACCGGCAAAGCATATATCCATCTGTAGAGTGAGCCTAATCATATTCAAAAGATCGCGATGATATTTGAACTAGATAGCATGATTTGGATCAGTATTCCAGTGAGGAGCGAAAACCCTGGAGAAGCAATCGAGAGAAAAGATCGAGCATACATAGTGTAAATTATAGAGCACACGTATATATGGATGGTCAATCAGGGGAATGCCTGAAAGAGGTTCAGGACGCAGATTTTTCAGAGATCTGAGCCTCTGTCCATTCCCACAGTCTCTTTGCCATATCCGCATCCGTGGAATATTTGTTGTTCTTAGCATGAATCCCGATAGGAATGTAGTATGCTCCATTGGACAAAAGCTCCCTCTTGACCCCAGCAGCCCATAGCTGGTTTAGAGCGCCCGAACGTACTGACCGAAAGAAAAGTGAGAGAGCAGCAACGCCGCATTTCGTGACGGGATCCGACGCCTTCGCATGCTCGTACAAGTTGCTGGTCACAGTACCAGGATGAATGGAGACAGAAAGAATCTTCGGATACCGTCGAGCAAGCTCAGACGCGAATAGAATATTGGCAGCCTTTGAGGCGGCATAGCGTGTCCAAGTACTAGCAGCCAACATCGCATCCGTGGATGTCATGATATCGTACGGCGGAGCAACGCAGTTGGCCAACGAGGACAGAGTTACTACCCTCACGTCGGTTGAGGAAGGGCTGGCAGCAGTCTTTTGCAATACCGGGAGCAGCAATTTCGTGAGCAGAAAGTGACCGATATGGTTTGTTCCAAATTGCACTTCAAATCCTTCTTCTGTGGTTGTTGGCGGGTTGCCCATGGTACCAGCGTTTAATATCAGGAGGTCCAGGCGATCGCATTCGGAAGTAAATTCCAAAGCAGCGCTGCGAATCGAAGCGAAAGATGCTAGGTCGAGAGGAATATGTCTGATATCCGTGGGAGTCGAAAGCTGCTGCTGGATGTCGGCGATCGCATCGCGAGCTTTCGTCGCATTGCGCGCACCCAGGTATATGCGGGATGGATGATGGTGCGCGAGCTGAAGGATTGTTTCTTTTCCAAGGCCAATGTTCCCTATCCAAGAGGAGACGGAATCAGCAAATCATGCGCAACCATAGGGGCCCCCTTGAAGGACACGGTCTCAAAGGTTACCTCCAGTAACAAAGATCACCTTGCCGGAGAGATCGGTGATATCACGTTTCGGGTCAAAAGACGCGCCCAAAAGACCGAAAGTCGATTCATTCAATGTAGGGCCGACGCTTGCGTAGAAATCCAGCGGGTGAAGGATAGCATGGGATGCGAAGGAGGCAGCGAAAGCAAAGTCGCTAAGGGGCATATTGCAGGATCAAGATATCGGCCTATCCAAAATTATCCCTAAGACGCTCGACGTTCTCCTTTCGCTCGAATTGTTTGCAGTTGTCCATGACAAGGTAAAGGTGCTTTGAAGCCACCATGGTTCAGATACGCGGACAGCGTTCCTGGATCGGCGACCGAGGTTCGTCTCCCATGGTACAAATGTTGACTAAGAGTCTAAGAACAAGGGGTGATGCTACCAGCCTACTATGTAAACAGCCGATCAGTTATACAGTGGCACCTATGAGAAAGTCCTTTGATAGGCCGTTAGACGCACAAACATCAGACCGTATTCTGCGACCAGGCTAGAGGACCCATAAGTTGGTTTGGCAGGTAGTTTTCGCGTAAGTCAAAATGGGGGCCATGAGAGTCATGCATGGAAACCAGTCATATCCTTGCTGCAGCCAGCTCACACTCCCTGTCCTCTACCGCACACACGTAACAAGACAGATCATCCTTACTTCTAGTCCTCCTAGCCTTGGGTCAACACCAATTTGCTTGTAAAAAGGCAGAAGATGCGCTTTCTCTGTCTACACGGCGCCGGGACAAGCGCTGAAGTATGTTACATCTGACTTGGATGTGCAAATGGTGGAAATAGGAGGCTGACTGTCGAGGATAGATCTTCGAGATTCAGTCAGGTATTTGAACCACGCCCAGAGACTATTTCCGGAATTGCCGGTATCATCGATCCTTGCAGTAACAATCAAGCACAGGCGGAATCACCCAGGAGCTGGAAGATAAGGGCCACGAGTTTGTATTCGTCAATGGACGAGTGACCTCCAAGCCTGAAGCTGGTCCGTAGACCTGACAAGGGTTTTCCATCTGCTACAACTCTAGTCCTCTAACCCAGATCACAGAAATTGAAGGCGTTCTAGACGGCCCATTCTACAGCCACTACCCCCGCGATGTTTACCCAGGCGAAGACCTTGCCCGGGCATTCGAGTACACACTCAACATCATCGAGAAGCGAGGGCCCTTTGATGGCGTGATGGGCTTCTCTCAAGGCGCTGCGCTTGCATGTGCTCTTATAGCCAACCATGCCAAAACCAATTCGAAACCTCTCTTCAAGGTCGCCGTGTTCATCTGCGGTGCGACACCCTACGAAAGCACTGGGCTTAAAGAGCTTGTTGCCGAGGACGGGAAATATCCCGTCACAATCCCAACGACGCACATCGTGGGTAAGCAAGATCCGTATTACAAGGGAAGTATGCATCTGTACGGTATGTGCGACCCATCTAAGGCTGTTTTTTACGACCATGGTTCAAAGCATCATATCCCGTTTGACCAGGCGAACACTATTGCCATGGTGTCCGCCATTGAGAAATCCATCGAGCGGGCTTTGAATAACGAGTAGGTAATTCGGCGCGGCTTGCGATGGTTTGGACGCACAATTGATAGACCATGATTATGATAGAGTCACGAAAGGAGACAAGTTCTGTGACCTCCTAGTCCAGTGTAACAAGTTCTAGTACTATGCCGTTGCATTCGAAGGTGTCACTCGATCACAGGATGCCAGTGTTCAACGCCGCTTATTAGAAACAGCTCGTATATTTCTATCTCTTGCGCTAAATATCATCAATAGGATTGCAAACAGTAAAATCAAGACACCGAAGATATGACTTTTCAAATGTGTTCCTGCTAAAGCCTGAGGTTGGATATGGTCATCAAGTCATAATCCCGCAGAAGC